ACAATAACAGTAACAACAGCTTTTTGACAAGTTAAAATTTTCTTTAAAGTACATTAAAATATTTAAAAATAAACTACAAAAATTTATTTGGTAAAGTGCAAGTTAAAATATAGTTTTATCTGCAACTGTATTTGATAATGTTTAGAACTTTTAAAATATTGCACGGTAAAACCAGAAGCTGCTCTTCATATTAGTGACAAACAATAACAGTAACAACAGCTTTTTGACAAGTTTAAATTTTCTTAAAAATACATTCAAATGTTTAAAAATAAATAATTTAATTAATTTAAAGTGCAAATTAAAATAGTTCTGCAACTGCATTTGATAATGTTTTGAACTTTTAAAATATTGCATGGTAAAAACAGAAGCTGCTCTTCATATTAGTGACAAACTTTGGTGTTTTTTGATGGGTTACCTTCATTTTTGCTTTCTACTGTTGAGTTTCCATTCTCGGCAGGTTTCTAAGGTTCTTCTTCTACATATTAAAAAAGTTGTTAAACATCTGAATGGCGCACTACTGCTACTCATGGTGAGAAGGTGTATTGCACCTTATTCAAAATCAATCCAATCCTTTGGCCCTCTGCGGCCCAAAGTTAAAAACTGTTGTTCTTTTGAGCCCCTCAAGATGGCGGTCACAGCCCACAGGTTAAGAATTTCTGGTGTACAGCAGTATGAGGGGTTTCCTTGGTGCTCTGTGTGTCTCAAACTATGAAAAGGTGTGAGAGAAAAAGAAAATCACAAAAAGAACAAGCTTTGCTGCTTGGAGCCTTCTCTACGTTTTCATCCAAAACCAGAAATTATGGATAATTTTATTTTTATGGATTTGGTTAGCTGGTCTCTTAATAAATTTTTTGGAACAAAGTTTTTTCTTCCATGGGAGGACATGTCAAAGGTGGGACCTCTGTTCTGCTCTGTTCTGGATATATAGAACTGGATTCCACATATTGTCTTGGTGGTCTCCTGCAAAACAGCATCAGTGTTAGTTCATTTCCTGGCTGCCTGACTATTATGAAGGATGGCCGTACTATCAGCACTCAAGACTTTTGCTTTGAGCGAGCTGGACTCTGTCTGCAAGCGGTTCTGCTGAGGGTCGCGTGCCGGCTGTGGTTCCTGGACTTTGCTGGCCAGATGAAATTGATCTTGGAGAAAGCCGATGTACGGCAGAATTTGTCCACACCATTTGCCTGATTGAATTCGCTATCGCTACCTTGAGATGTACCAGCGGACATTAAAGCAGATGGAAAATTGTTATTGTCTGCCTGGCTCTTCTGTTCCCAAAACAACTGATTACAGATTTGGCTCTCCTAAGTACATAGCCTTGAGCTGTTGGACTAAATTCTTCCTGGATGGTTATGTCGACTGAGGGTCTGCCCCTGGTTTTTAGTTTTCTGTTAAGGCTTGAGCCTCCTCATGATGTCTTCATGAAGATGATCTTTGCTCTGTGCAGGGGTCTGTGGCTGCATGACCCAGGGCACCTGTTCTATGTTATGTCCTGTCTTCTTCTGAATGGGTGTTCTGAACGGTAATTTCCTTGTGCTCTGTACAAGGACAATAAATGTCTAATCTAATCTAATGTGTCAAAGTTTAAAAAAAAAGGCCTGAACACATCCTTGAGGAACTGTGTGATTGCATTATATGTGGATGAGTTAAGCAAACTGTAAGAGCTCTGTTAGGATTCGAGTAAGTGGTAGTGGTTTATTTCTGTAAAAAAAAAAATAAAAAAAAAAACTTTTCATCAATGTAAATTTTACAAATCTAATCATAGCTTTCATTGGGACTTTTCTTGGCCCAAACAATACATGTTTTTGTTTCTAAGCTAGCCTAAAAAGTTCTTTCACTCACAGCAATCTTATGAATAAGTTGTTGGATAAGTTCATGATGATACTGTATTTCTAATCCCTCTAAAGTCATAAAAAGCTTCATTACATAAACAGGAGGATTTAAAATGCCGGTCTATTGATTAAGTTGCTTGTTTTCTTTTCACATTAACCATGATCACAGGACTATGAGACTGTAATTATTACTGTGAGAATATTTAAGGCATCTTTACACTAACAATAGAAACCCGTCATTCCATGGAAACCTCTTCAGGCTGTTAAAACTTTTCACTAAAGATCAAACTAAAAATGCAAGTTATTTTTGGATAAAGAACCAGAATAAAAAAAAATCTGATGCATTTATTCACAAAGTTTAATTTTTAGGGTCAAAATTAGACTTTACTTTAAACATGTTCAATCATGTGCAAGTTCCTTAATACATATTTTCTTTAACTCAACCCCAAAGCTTGCTTTCTCAGAAAAAGTAAAATACAAGAAAAACACCTTTAAAGAACATTTGCTTAATTTTTATTAAACAGTCTTCACTGTTCAAGTAAATCTGAAACAAAAAACAGTAAATGATTAATGGTCTCTGCAAGGATCATAAACCTTTTATAATGATCGTTTTTAAAAATGTCAAATCTTGTTATTTTAGAACAAATTAAAAAAAGCTTTTTTGTCATGCAGTTTGTTTATAGTAATATATTTTATATAAAGACAAAGGGGTATTTTTAGCAGCGTCACCTATGAGCTGAAGTTGCAGGTAGACCCCACTCACTAACCTGGGCTTGACATGCTCCTCTCCAGCAGCTTTAAGGTTTCTCCTGTCAGCATGTGGAGCTCGTCCTGCAGCCGCCGGTGGCCGTCCAGAGTCAGGTGCCAGAAACACGATTTCCTCTTCCCGTCTCTGCACAGCTGGTTGCAGGTCTTACGAAAACTGCTGTTGAAGCACAAATTGTGTCTGATGGTGTTCTTCCATCCATCTGGAGCCGTCTGGAAGAAGGGAAAATGTTCTCTAGAAAAGAACCAAAAGTGGAATATATGAAAAAAGAAAAACCTAACCATGATTAGTTCATTAGAGACAGATTTATATTTAGAGGCGAAGCACAAAATCCAAAGAAGGGTGCTGGATAAACTGATTACAGACACTTGACAAGGAATGAACAACAAGCAGCAAATCAGGTTTTTAAGCTTTATTTTACTTGCAGCAAGAAATTCATATACAGACAATGTACGATCAACAAAATGTCAGCAGTATGAACTGGCTCTCTGCACAGCTGTCGAGCTTTTAAAAGGAGTTGTGTGTGACCTCCTGCCATATGTACAAGTGTAACTTCAGGGTTTTCTAGCTAACTCCAATCTAATAGTCATAACACAAGCTCTTTACAAACTAAGTAAACAGGGAAGTTAAAAATCCGTAGTTGTCACTTCACTCATCATAACACTCCTGAGCACAAAAACAAACAAAATCTGAGTTAATTTTAAAAAAGCATTTAAATCACAATTTCTTCAATAAAAAGGCTGTTGACTGATTTGAGTCAACTAAAAACAAACACTTTTTCCTCTTAATTCGGGAGGTGGAAGATATGACATTTATGTAAAACTAGATACTGTATAGCAGTAGCATAAATGACCCCCACACACATGCAAAGCACACACGAGAAGTGACTTTGGTATGGTCATTAAAAATAAAAAAAGGTTTTGTTGATGAAAAAAAAAAAAACCTGATTCTTTCTTGCTCGTCTATTTGAGTAAAGCGATAATGAAAAAAACCACGTTCACTTGCATGAAGTCAAATAATCTCTCCAGGAAATTGTAGGTGCTTTACAAATGTAAAAATAAAAAAAAGACTCTTGAGTACAAGTTGTTTTGGGTGGAGTTGAGGAACATGCATATGGGGCTGCTGGAATTTTAGTCCATGAAGGTCAGATAGGAAAATATTGGTGCCAAATTTCCTTAAGATCTGATCATTTTTATGGATGTACAGGTTTGAAAGAACAATTTTGAGTCATGTGTTTTGATTGTTTTGCCAACTGCTACGTGGCAGTTGCAAATAAACATGTCGTCATGGACAGTCTTTCATCATAACTAAACAACAACAAAAAAAATCAGAAGTTTAAATGGTGAATAGGTTTGGAGATAAGCATTTTTGTATGTACTCCTGACAGCAACTTTTGAAATATTGTCCCCACTTAAAATATGGGGCCTATCACAAAACCATTTGCTAGCACAGTGTAGGTCGGCCCTTTCTATATTCCAACCAAATTTTATGCTGCTTGGTGTAATCCAAAATTTGATCCTTTTTGGTGGTGGTGTCGGGGGTGGGGGGCAATTTTTGCCCTTCAAGGGAGCTAAACAAAAGCATCTGAAACTTCTTTGTTGAATAATTTGAGTTACAAGAACTTTTCTATGTCCAGACACCCCTTTTCAGAAGGAGCCCCCTCCTCAGGGTCTATCCTAAAAACATGGGTGCAGCCGTTTCTGTGCTACGGTTGACCAAAATTAGCTGGGAGGGGGAAAAAAAAAATGCAATATGAAAACAATATGACCCTCGCTTCTGGTGTGGGGGTCATAATAAATGCGAATTCGACCAACTGACCTGGTAAAGTTGTAAATCTGCTGGACTTTTAGGCTCCCAGTCTGGCTGCTCTTCAGTGCCAAAGCGATGAGGATGAAATAATTGACTGGAGGTCGAGGCCAGCAGCCTGGCTCCAAGGTCTTGTAGTCCTGTCAGAAGTAAGAAGAAAAAAATAAAGTCTGCTACAACAAATGTCATTCAAATCATTCCAGACACCTGTTAAAATATTCTACATTACGTTTCACTAAAGCGTGAGCTTCAGGAAAAATTGTCAATATTCTCAAAACATTTTTTTTCATTAATTGGTTTCGAACAGTTCAGCCTTACATTAGTTTGCTCAGAATTTAACAGTTTGTATAAAATGCAGAATCAGTTCAGTTTCTATTTCCATTCAAATCCTGACAAAGCTGTTCTCACCATGGCTTTTATCATCCTGCTCCTGCGTCTGTTCCTCACTGGTCGACTGGAGACGTCTGGATTCTTCCCCGGCTGGTTCAGGATGGGGAGATTACTGTCATTTTGTACAAATCACTGCACTGAATGCTGGGTTTATTTTAAAGATTGTTTGGCAATTTTACATTTACATAAACAGGTCCTCAAGAATACAGTGTGCTTGACACATTTTCAGTAAATTTGGAGTACTTTTTTAAAAAGTGCATTACAAAATGGAACACCTAACTTCAACTGCTGACTGAAAGTGGTGCATGCTAACAGATTGTAAACGGAAAAAAATAATAATTCAAAAAGGAATGATAGTGGAGAAATTATTACATTGTAACCAGCTGAGGAAGGAACACAGTGCAGCAGGTTCTCCTGAGAGGGCAGCATGTGAGGACATGCTGTAAGTGGATGCATCTCTGCAGGCTCCAGCTGAGGGGTTTGGACTTCCTGAACAGGTTCAGGCCGGAGCTCAACGTTCTGTTTGTACTGGAGCGGACAGACGATGTTAGGATTGACCATCAGCCACAGGCTTGGTTTGACAAAAGTATCTGAAAGACAAATCCATGAAAAGTAAAACTTTCAGTTTACGTTGAAAATAACATCAAAATGATTATTTTAAAATGTAATCCCTCATTTCAATCAGGAGCAGCAATAAACAGGAAGTTGTTTACCAGAGGAGAGATGGGGCAATTCATTAAGCCAAGTTTATTTTTCTTCTTAATTTGAGGATTAAATAAATTTAAATAGTTTCTTAAACCTTTTTCTGCATTTTTGTCACTAATTTTGCTGCAGTTGGTATTATTATTCATTGATCCTACACTTTTGTATCTGTGTAAAATTGTGAATAAACGAATTAAAAAAACTGTGCAACATTCATACAGAAACAATTACCTTTCCATCAGGAAAAYTAGTTTTTGAAATACTCAGCACAAAGCAAAAAGGAAATTGTGTGTTTGGTAGATTATTTCTTTGTTGCAATGCTTCCTGGCAATAAATCCTGTAGTGGACAACTGGAGGGATCAAACTCAAAACAAGAGTCAACAGTGACAGTAAAACAAGCTGTTTGACAGAAGATTTGGGAGAAAAAAATGAACGTGTGCAACCCACACTGCTCATCCCACAAATGCATGTTCCTTACAAATGTGGCACCATTTATAGATTTCTTTGTAACGATACTTCTTAGCAATAAATCTTATACCATCGGAAAGCCTGATAATTTCCACTTTAAATGGTGCCACAAATGCATGTTCCTTACAAATGTGGCACAATTTAAAGTGGAAATTATCAGGCTTTCCGATGGTATTAGATTTATTGCCAAGAAGTATCGTTACAAAGAAATCTATAAATTTTTTCTTACTTTGTGCCAAGTTTACACTTACAGCCCTCATTTTTGTTGCATTTCTTTATTCAGCACACTGTACCGTAAATAATTTCACCAAAACACACAAGTGATTGCTCCTATTCTAGAGATCAGGCAATTTGAACAACCAGCTATTAAAAATAGCTCTGCTCATCATATACAGCTGAAACCAGTTTATACTGTATTCACTGTAAAGACATTTCCCTCCCTTAATTGTTTGACATGATAAAATCAAACAGTGAGGATTCTTAAAAAAAATTATCTGATAGATGTTTCAATAAAAGGTATTACTTACAAAGACAGAACTATCGCTGTGATAGGTCAAATAAAATAGGACTGTTTAAAGTTGGAAAATTTATATGCCACTGTGTTACAGAACAGTGTTCTGACTGTATTACAGTTCTAATACAGTTCCTATATGGCCCCATCCTGTCACATTTTCACACAACAACAAATGCATTCACTGTAAGCTTGAAAACAACTACAACTTGTAACAAAGCAAAAGATGTGGTAAAGAAGCTGGTCGGAGTCAGAGAAACGAGTCCTGGATGGGATCAAAAGCCTCTCAACATGCAAAGTGTTAGAGCATTATTAAACAAAATCCAGTTCTGCCTGGAGAGATGGGTCCAAATTAAAACTGATGTTTCTCAAATTAGATGTGATACATTAAGAATCCACTAAATAAGTCTTTAAATATGTAAACTATTTTCTCATTTGTCATCAGTAACAAACTTAAAACTGCTGTTTAAACTCACCTGATGCTTTATCATAGATTTCATCTTCTCCTGTTGAGATCCTCGCAGGTCTTTGAGTCACGTACTGATCGCTCAGTTTCTCATCTGTCACAGAACAAACTACAATAATCCACGTTAATCTGTTTTAGATTATACACAGGTAGGCCTAAAATCTGATCGGACTGTTCCAGAACATTTAAACCCATATTTCTGTAATACTTTTCATCACTGAGGGTGGACGACTGTGAAGCCTTAATTTCCAACAAATTTTTGAATTGAATCTTCACCATGATAAAACTGGTCAGTGGTTGTTGCCAGTTTCAGCTCTTTATCCATGTCCCAGTCCAACAGACCCACAGAACCGTGCAGGTCCAGGAGTCCAGCTGTGGTTTTAAGCCATAAGGTCATGATTTGATGCATTTGTTTGTTTGTTTCCCTTCAGGCTGACAGAAACTTTCTGATTAAAGAGTTGATTCAGCAGCTGGACCAGATCAGCCTGATTGGACTCAATCTGGTCTAACAGAGTACAGCCTGTGGATGAATAGAAGTAGTTTGACCTAAAGTTGGTCATTTGAATTAATTAGGTTTTCAATTTCAATATAGTTTTAACAAACACATGCGAACATAGACTGATATACTTTTTATGGCAAGAATCTACATATGTTTTTTCATTGACAAAAACAAAACGTGCTTTTCAAAATTCTACATTTTTTGCTTTTGAAGAAAAAAAATCTAAGGTGAAAGTTTTGAGCATCACTTCTTAAAATAACAAAATCAGGCATGTCACATGACCTGCTTCAGAGCTGTGACTAAATGAGCATATTCTAGTCTTTAGAGGAGATTAAAGGAACCTGGTTTGGAATATTCTTCCTCTGAGATTAATGAATCTACCATAGAACAAGTGCATTTTTATTATACTGTCATTTGATGATTGAGAATCAAGACCAGAATTTAATTTGAAAGAAATTTTTGCAACCTTTTTTAATGCAGTGTTTTCATCTACATCTTCATTTAGACATTTTCTGCGAAGTTAACATTCATTGACAATGAATGCTGAACGCAGCAGATGTTAATTATTTTCCCTGACATGAGTGTCAAAACATATTTTGAGGAAATAATTCAAAGCCATTCAGTTTCTTCTGACCTGCAACAAAGCAGTTTAATGTTACATTTACAGTTCACAACAGAAACAGTCATAAATCAAGATTTGTACAGCATGAGAACACAAAAAATCATATTGTCATTTTTAAATATATATCTATGTATCTTTATATAGTTTAAACATCACATATTTTTATATCATGAGATTTTGCTTTGTTCCATTTCGTTCATTGAGAGGAACAAAAGCAGCACGGATCTCCTGCTCAGTTTTATTTTTATTGTTTAACAATAATCTCCACAGTAAATCAGACTCACACATCACTTCATAGTTTAGTCAGGGAATAATATTATTTACCAGACATGCAGACAAAAACGAGCACTGTGACAAAACTACATGAGTTTTAACAGCCTGAAGGATTTACACAGAGCAGAGGAATGTTTGAGGTGGACAGATCTGACTTTTTAAAATTTGTATCTTTGGACAGATTAACAGTGTTAAACTGGGGTGAGAATATAATCATGAAAAGACTGCTGCTTAAAGGAAATAAAACAAAAACCTTCTCCAATTAGCTACCTGTCAACTATATTGTGCATTTACCAAATTGCAAATAACTTGAGTTTATTTTGTCAGCTGACGTGTAAAGAGGGCAGCACGACCTGTAAGAAACACACTGAGCTTCAGCACGTTTACATACAGACCTTTGAAAGTCAAATTAGTGACAAACCATGTTTGTTAAAGGGCCTGAGTTCATGTGATTCTTTTGTATTTAAAAACTTTAATCAGAACAAATGTATTTTACAACTACAAATCATAATCCTATAAACACTGTTACACTAAACCAATTTACACCAGCAGGTGAATAATGGAAGAGATTTTGTTTCAAAGTGCATCTTTACCATCACACTGAGACAAAAAACCAAAGACGGAATGAAATGATGGTGGGAAGAGGAAGAATGGAACGGTATGAGGAAAAGGAAGGTTAAAAGATTGGAATGTAGTTGTCGATTTTGGCACGGTGCCGCTGAGCGATGCACTCTGCGATCCAGACGATGTTCCTGCACTCCTGCTCCTTCAGCTTGACGTAGGCGTAGAAGACACTGAAGTGGAACTGGTTGAGGAAGGCCAACTTGTTCAGCTTAACCTACAGGTGTGAAGAACGACGGCAAGAGAGAGAGAGAGGAAGTTTTAGTAAAGCGATGCAGGGCAACATGAGTAAAGTTAGCTTTCTTCATTTTCCTTTTCCTCTTGGTTTGACAAGGCAGGGAAGGAAGGACAGACCGGTGACGTCCTGCATCATTGTGGACTTTTCTAAATAAAGTCAGCACTGTGGATCCAGCAGAGACGTGAAGGACTTTAAATAAAGTATGTTTTGGACATCTTTCATTATAAATCTTATGGCTGGCTGCTCAAACAGATCATCTGTCATCACCACACCTCTGCCTTAATGTTGTCTTATCCTTTATGCACTGACTGATTCAGCTGTGTTATTACCTGCTTAGACTCAGAGGTGTAACAGCTGTGGGGTGACTTCAACACTACACGCAATCTTGTTCTTGTCATAAATCCTACAGGATGAAGGCCTAACTTCAAAACATTTTGTGAAAAGTTGTCACTTACTCGGTATTTGGTAACTGAAGTCTTAACCCGTTTGATACTTTACATTGCTGGGGAAAGTATACTTCCAACCTCTCTGGATCCAGTGGGGGTCCAACTGAATTGATGTTGTCAAAAAGACTCCAAATGCTGTCGTTTTGCTATTTGATGTTAAAAATGTTTTTGAAACTCGTGAAGGCTTGCAGACCAAAAGACATTGGAGGTGTTTTTGTTTTGTAAGCAGCTTCTATAAGTGGATCAACTCACTTACTCTCTCTACATCAGCTTGTTTTATGTTAAAGCTTGAGATAAAACATTTGATATAAATTCAATGACCCAATAACAGCCAGAATAAGCAACACCCAGATGACATTTTAAATGTGCAAAGTACCAGCAAACACTTAATATTCAATTATTTCAGTAACTGTTAAATGTCAATATTAATTGGCAGCTAGATTTTTATTTTGTAAAACTCTACAGAAATACCCAAATGATGAAACAATTCAGCAAAATTAGAAATGAAAAACTCTGATTTTAACCTATTTTGGACAATATACATCCACCATATGAACCTGCATACCAATAATCATTCACCCTGCAGATCAATGCAGCAAACAGGGAATTAAACTTAAACCAAATGGTTGTGCACAGATAAGTTTAAAGTCTCTGTGGAAACCTGACCTGAGACTTACTGCACAATAAACCTGTACAAAGAAGAAAAATGTGTTAAACAAAGAGTCACCTCGTGCTCAAAGAAACGGTCCTCCAGAGTTTTATCTCCTGGGTTGCTGCCGGCACCTTCAAACAGCAGTTTGTATTCCTGAAGAAAAAAAGAACAAATAATCAAAGACATTAACTCATCACTACTAATAAACCGAGAAGAATTAATGAAAAGTTAAACGGATAAAGACGTGGCGTGTAAAGTGGAATAGACTTTTATAAGTTATATCTGCTGGTGGCAACAGAGATGAAAGTCCAGATTCTATTTTATTCATAAATGACAAAAAAACACACTTAAATTTGACAATATTTTGATTCTTTTTTACATTAATTTTTCACAGGTTGATCAACTGTATGTTGAAATAAATATCCTATGTTACATTTTCAAAATCACATGATACAACATGCACCAACATTGTTCAGTAAAAAATAATCAATCTAATAACTGTCATTTGGTTTTAGCTTATGAATGTTTAGGGTTCTATCACTTTTCACCCATAGGGGGCCCCAAACACAGAGTTATAATTTTAATGGCTTAATTTATGCTGTAACTATTTCATCACAAGGTTTTGTTTGAAAAAAATCTAAAACTAGAAGCTTTTCTGTAGAGCTAAAAGATGTCAAATGAAAGCATTTGACATGTAAACCTTGTGCTTTTATTGCACAATAATGACTTAATGGTGAAGTAAAGTGTGTTTTGGACTTACAGGATAATAATCTGCAACAGCCTTGACCTGCTCGTAGTCATCAGCACGAGCCAGCTGTGCAAGGCCTTCTGGGTAAAGCTTGCCGCAGTGGGGGAAGAGCTTGGCTCGGTCCTCTTTGGACAGCTCTGTGCCAAACGAGTTGATGGTGATGATGAAGGCTCTTCTGTCAGCCTCAAACTACAACAGGAACAGGAACGTTGATGTAGCAACACAAGGTGGGTCAGAAAGCCCGGCGAGCACACACCAAACAAGGAGACAGGGTCCCTTCAGCTTCAATATGTTTAATAAAGTTTTTACTGTTTTATGGTGCAAACTTACATTTTCTGAGGCTGACTCAGTGTTAAAGTTTGTTACTTTTCTGAAAACATAGTAAAGACTCACCTCCAAAATAGGGCACATGGTGTCAGCAGTTGTTCCTCCCAGGTTGGAGCAAAACTTGTAGAAAGCCTCCAAATAAGCCTGATAAGAAGGAACAAACAGACATCGAGTTATTATAATTTATCTAAATGTTTGTTTGTACTGAACACTTACAGTTTCAACTAAATTACAGTTTAATGTGATTTTTTATTTAGTTTTAAACAGTTAAAAGTATTGTTTTAAAAGATTTTTGAAAAAAAGCTGATAATAATAATGTTTTACCTTATATAGGGTGTTGCGAATAATTTCAATGTTCATCTCATCCAAGTCCTGCTCAGATATACAGTCTTGGAAGAATGCAGCTGGATATTGAAGGGAAAAAAAACATGTTAAAAACCACACTGGCTGTAAAATATCTTTGTCTCCACCTGGTGTTCAACAAGAAACATCACAGCTCAGGTTTCTCTGATCAGTTAACGTGGCAGCACGTACCCAGTGGAGTATCCACCAGGATGGCGTTATACAGCTCAGCAGGGGTCTGGGCGATGTTGACCGCCTCCATCTGCTCGAAGCTGCCCAGCGGGTGACACTTTGGCACGAGTTCAGAGATGGCTCTCTGGTGCAGCGTGCCCGTGATCAGCAGGATGACGTTATCGATCATATAACTGTACCTGAACAAACCACAACAGGAGAAGTGTTGAGACAAAGCAGAATCACCAGTTGATATCTTTTTACAACTATGGTATGATCATTCTGAGAGAAAATGTTTTTTTTTTTTTTTGTTAAAATATCTGTAACCACTGATTTTTAGTCCTAGATTTTAGTATTTTGGAGCACACATTGCATATTTGTTTAAATGGACACTGTTGTGATTAAAAATATACTAACAATGTGAAATTATTTGACTAAAATTGTACATTTTTGTACAGCCCAGGAGAAGCCACAAAACATCTTACTTGATATTGTATTAATGTTAATGTTTGACCAAATATACAACTGTAAAAATGTAAACCTGGTTGAAAATTAGTAAAAATAAAATGTTTACTAAAGAAACTGTTTTACAAACACTGCAATAAAATGTCAAGGAATAACTTCTTCAAATCATTCCTACTGATGCATTTAATGATATTTAAGTAATTGTAATAAATATGCATATAATAAATTATTTTTAATGGCATTTATCTCTGCTTCTTGTGTTCAGTTTTTAAATATTCGTTTTATTTCAAAAATATTTTAATCACAATAACCTTGTTTTTTTAAGCAATTATCTGCTTGTTTAACGTTAAAGAAAAAACAAAATATATGGTCATATCAAAAAGTACATTTTTAAATCAATTAAAATTTATTTCTTTTTTTTTAAGGTTCTTCTTGATCTTAGCCCCACAAATTCATCATACTTTCTTCAACGTCAACACATCTGTTCATACAGGCCTTGTAGCTCTATTGTTTATTAAAAACTTCCTTTGTTATTTTAGATTTTTCAGTTTTATTGCACTTGAAGGTTGACTCTTAGGATTTAAAGGCCCTGTCACACTAGATAACTTATGAACACTTTAAAGACGTCCACATTGAAGATGGAATTGACAAACATCAACAGGAAGCTTCTTTACGGCATGCACATAGTGTAAATTGAACAAATTGATCAAATATATGAATTTTATTAGCAATTTAGGCATAAAAAATGTTTCATAAGTTGGCATAAGTTGTCTAGTGTGACAGGGCCTTAAGAACCTAAAACATGTTTACATT